AGATCGCATTCTAGAAAATACTTCATTCATGACGCAATCTGATAAACCCCAACTGGAGGCATCCATGTCCAAGATAGAGGAACCTTCAACAATCGAGTCACAATATGAGCCTTCCACTTCCGCTGACTCGATTGATGAGAAAGTTCTCGAGTAGCCATCCATTGAGAATGAAGAAATTCAAACTCGGATCGTGCCGCAATTTTGTTCAAGGACGGTTTTGACGAAGATTATGGCAACACCCTGAACTATTTCAGTAAAAAGAAACCACTCGTCCCCTTGCCGCCTCCTGATCCTATGGAACTTGGGTTCCTAAGGGAAACTGTTCGGGAGTTAACATCCATAATGAGCGACGAATGGCTAAGGGAGGTAGAGCTTTCATCCGAAGTAATTCGGATAAATACCGCTCCCCGAATCATTCCTTGCCATCCGGAGGGGAACGCCGTTGGTATTCTTTACAGTCCAACTGTCGGGGTTAATCTCATCTCTGAGTCATTTGCATTCGCTTATCTGAGCAATAAGGCAGTAACCCCGACAAACAAATTCTTCAAGCACCCGAACGGAAATATTATTGAAGGATTTGGGATTGTACAAGATATGCTTGTCTGCTTTGAAGATAGGGAGTGTCACATCCTGATTTTCGTTTCAGGATTTATAAATTATTTAATAAATTATTATTAGAATTTATATTAAATGATCATTAATTTACAAGTGAAGTTAAATGTGGGAAATAAAATTTCCTAAATATAAAGCATGGATGGATTTAATTTTTAGTAAATTCTCCATGGTTAATTATACTCTCTGGAATTTTCTCGGATTTTTCGGAGCTCAATTCCTAATTTTAATAATACAAACAACATTTCAGTAATTATCCACATATTAAATTAATCATTAAATGGTTTGATTATAATCTTGTTAAGTACTTTGAGTGTCCAAGTATTTTAATGATTTTTCTTGAAATTATTTGAGTATTGGAAGTATTTTTAACAATTCAAAGATCATTTCAGTGATTAATTTAATTGGAAAAGTAATTAAAATTCCTCTTTTCCTTTTTCGGGCCGCAACAGGAAAAGTCCTCTCTCTTTCTTGGCCCAATCTCCTCTCTGCCTGTAGCCCCTCTCCCTCTCTCTGTCGAAGTCTGCTTTGTGTCCCTCTTTCAATCGGGCCAAGAAGTAGAAGCCCAGCCGGAAGTCTACTTTTCCTTCCTATCGCTGCAGTGGCATCTTCAACCTCCAGCCGGCTGGAGACAGAGCCCGATGCCGCCATTGCCGTCGATTTCCCCTCCAAATCCGGTCTCCTCTCTCGTGTTATTTCAAAATTAGTTGAGGGGAAATATTCCTGTTATCCTCCTTTATCTTTTCCCCCAAGAATCGGACTTTATCCCGAAGAAATCAACGCAGAATCGAGCTCGATTCGTGTTTTTCTCTCCAAACCAAACCCTAGAAAATCCCGGCTCCGATTCTCTCGTTGTTGGATCGATCTCTCTCCCATGGCTATAAATAGAGTCCCCTCCCTCTCCTCTTTCGGCTGGCACCTCTCCCTCTCTCCGCCGTCGCTTGTAGCGCCGTCGCCGCGTTCGTCTTCTCTGTCCACCGCCGGCAGCCGCTCCAGCCGCCCCTAGCAGCCGCCTCGGCCGTCGTCGACCTGCGCTGTCGCCTCTCCCAGCTTCGCAAGGAGGAACTGCACACCGTCGACCCCTGGGTCGAAGCCGAAGCCTGCCGTAGCGCCTCTGACGCCGTCAAGTCGAGCCCGTCGCCGATTCGATCTCGTCACCGGCCGTCTCCCATCGTCGTTCGTCATCGTGCCGCCCCTCAGTGAGTTCCCCGCGTCGTGCTCGTCGCGTTGGTGCCCTCCGTTCTCGCCGTCGTGACCTAGATCGCCGGTGACCGTGATGTCCCGAGCCTCTCGCCGGTGTTGACATCATCGATGATGTCATGAAGCCTTTTTCCCTTCTAAAAATAAATCTTAAAATCAGATTAATCTTAGAAAATTCATAACTAAATCATCGTAACTCGGATTCGAGTGGTTCAAGCTGCTAAATTCACTTAAAATCATGATCTACATGTTTGTTTACTTTATATGTACTGTTTATTTGGTTTTTATTAGTCTTTTTTTCCGTTTTGCGTGTTAGCTTGTCGTTTCCGTCGTTGCGAAGGCTCGTGAGTGTGTCGGAAGAGATTCAGAAGACTAATTGAAGACCGATTATTGCAGGGCAAGTCACACAGATCCCAAACACAATTCCTTTGAGCATGTTGATCCTATATTTAAATTCTCTATTTATTTCAACTGTGCATTTATTTTCGAATGTCACCGGGTGGTGTGAACCTATTCCTTTGTTATGGCCAATTTGCATTGATTACTCTATTCCTTGATACCTTGGGTAACAAATTGATTAGCTTGAACCTTATATATTGGTTTGGTTCAGCTAAAAGCTATATATATATAATTGCTTAGCCATGCTTAGAAACATTAGCTCATTAATGGGATGAATCATACTACATTATTATTTATGATTATATTTAATGGTAGCTCACGATGGTTAATCGTGTTATGATAATTAATTGATAATTAAAACTTGTTAATGGTGGGTTGTGAGCACATGGTTTTGAAGGTCGTGCTCATGACAATTAAGGACCGGTTTGCGAGCTACTGTTGTGAGACATTAACCATGCTAACCACAAGCCAGCGTGGGCAACGGCTTTATCTTCTGTATAGCATGATTCATTGCGGGGTACCATACTGAGAAGCGGCGAGAAGTCCGTGGGGGTCGCTAGGGAGTCCATGTCATATGCTCACCTTGCAATAATCAATCAACCTCAGTTGAAGAAAAGGATCCAAAAGGAGAAGACGTTTGGCTTATACCCAGTTGAGTTGCTAGTGGGAGTGGAGCCGGAGTTTCGCTAGATTTTATTTTTCCGCTGTAGTTTTCTTCGTTGTGAGGACTAAGTGCCTCTTCAGTAAGTATTAATTGCTTTAGTTATTTTGATGGATTTGTATATTAAATTGTCAGTTTATGTACCTCGGCTGATTCCTGGATGACTGTTTTATGCACAAATAAGTTCGGAAATTACTAGTGAATTTCCGGGCGTGACAAGGAGCCAGTCTTGGATGTCCATGCCTTTGAAATCCAAGATTTTGACATTCTAATCGGGCTTCCCATTGAGCAACTCCTCATAAGCACACCCCGGCTAGATAGCCTCAAGATAACTTTGGGAGGGAATGAATTCTCAGTCCCATTCTCACGGGCAAGGTTCGCCTTGATCGATTCTCTCCTAGAGATTGAGTCAGCGGAGAAGGTTACAACAGTTCCTCCTCACGAGTCTCCCGAGGCCCTTTTGGAAGATGAAGTCCCTGACTTCATCAAGGAAGAAGCGGAACCCGAAGAGACTCTCGATCTTCCAATCTTGGAACCGCCACCTCGACCTCCGCTTGAGTTTAAACCTCTACCTCAAGGCCTATGGTATGCCTTCATGCACAATTACAAAGAAGCCCTTGTCATAATCAGTGACAAGCTCTCCAAAGTCGAGACTCAACGTCTTCTGACTGTGTTAGAAAAGCATTGTGCTGTTCTTGTCGCTTTGCATTCATCGTATCCCTATTGACCCCGAGAGTACTCCCTCCAGAGAACCTCAACGATGGCTCAATAATGCGATAAGAGAAGGTGTAAAGAAAGAGGTCCTGAAACTCCTGCATGCCGGGATTATTTATCCCGTACCATACAGTGAGTGGGTTAGCCCGATCCACGTTGTGCCGAAGAAGGGAGGAATGACGGTTTTTGCAAATGCTCAAAATGAACTTATCCCACAACGAACCGTAACCGGATGGAGGATGTGCATAGATTATAGGAAACTTAACAAGGCTACTGTTGGTATTTCTTAACGTCATTACTAAAAACAATGGCGCAGAAACACTCCTGCTATATTATGGTTACAGAATTCATCCGCAAGCGCACGGATATACCATTGTAGCATTTCACCCGAGAGTATTTTAAGTGTATCGTATTTATTTTATCCCATGGAAAGATCATGGTAGAGTGAACTTGACTAATAATTTATATATTACTTGTGATAATCATATCCTAAGTAGGGTTTAAGATAATCTAAGGGTAGAGTGACACACAAGCAGTAAGCTACTCATTCTCATAATAAAATATCTAAGCTAAGTGAAAACAAAAGAGAAAGAGAATCTATTCCTATACTTCTAGTATACATAGTATACATACATTCTAGTCATCTGCTATACTAGCTAATACCTTCTATTTGATGTCCTCCTGGTACTTCGAGAAGCCACCCCTGACTGCCGAGTTCCTTACGACAGCCCGTCATGACCATACAACCGGGGCTAAATACGGAGGGGTACCCTCCCTAGGGAATTAACTTAGGACAATATACACGCGCGGAGGAATACCCGTACTGAGCTATCACCATCAACGGCCCACCTCTCATCCGCAGCATATAACACCAACTAATGATATCCTGTAATCTAGACACCACGTCTAAATTACCAGATACTACTCTAATATCATCGTCATGACATGGAGTAATTGCATATGCAAACATTATACCCGCACCAAAGCATCTCCCAGATAAGCTAGCAGCATATTCAGTATAACATAAACATAACATAAAGTAGACATTTATATACTCGGAAAGTATTTCAAAACCATAAATGTATAAAGAAGAGTATTCTAAATAAAGTACAAAGTTTACAAAAGAGGAAGGAAAGCTACTAGAGCCATACCCGAACTCTTCCGAAGACTTCCGGACTCCTGATTTCTACTCTATTCCTATTCCACTAGCTTAAGAACTTTAAACTAAGGCCCTGTTTGATTCAGCTTAGGATTACGATAATTTTAATTATTAGGAGTAAGCTGAAACAAACAGGTAGATTATTATAGCAGATTATTATAATCCATAAGCCAAATTATCATAATCTAATAAGCTGCTCTAAAAGAGCTTTTTCCAGATTATTGAGTGGCTAAAGATCCACTACCCCTAGATAATTGAAAAAATTACCCACCTATGCCATCAACCGAACAGATTGCCCTCTCCTATCTACACGAGCGCGCGAACTCGGCTCCTCCTCTCCCGGTCGCGCCGCCATCTCCTCTCCCAATCGCGCGCATCCGACCTCCTTCTTTCCCAATCGCGCCGCCTTCTCCACCCCCGGCGCGCGAGCAGCCTTCTCCACCCCCGGCCGCGCCGCCGCGTTCCCAACTCCATGTCCCGTCTTCTTCCCTGAACCGCGCCACCGCCGTCCCTGCCCTCACTCCGTACCCCGCCTTTGTCTCCAGGCTGCGGCGACGCGGCCCCAACTCCTGGATGCAGTACTCTCTCTCTTTCTCTCTCTCAACACTAATTGATTTGTTTGATTTTCACACTCAGAAATTTGTCCCATGCCATGGAACTGAAGAAATTGAATTTCCCTTTATGTTGCTTTTCATCACATGATTTTACATATGTGTGTATCACCTGAGAGCACATTCATTTGTAGGTTGCTATATGTGAAATTTCTTAAACACTGAATGGATGATATTTTCTACTGTACTGAATGAATGAATGGATGAAATTGATCAAACACTGAATTTTCTTAATGTACTGCACGCAGGTGTCTCACAGCTGATGATGTAATCAGGAAAATTACTGAATTTTTTCAATCCACTGGGACCCGACGATTTGTCACACAACGGCAGGTGCGTTTCAACGGGATTGAACGGCGAAGTTACATGCAAATCAGCATTTTATTTGGGCAGACAGGAGCATAGGAAGTGCTAGTTGAGATTAGGTAGATTTATCAGTTAGATTTGCTTTGGATTAGGTGCTTATCTATTGCTAGCTCTTGCTCAAATTACAGAACGACACAATGCTTTTTTTTTCCATGCAGTGAGACAATCAGTGGAGATGGAGCCTGCAAATGCGGAGGACAGTGTCGCCAAAGCCCTACGGTACCGCGATCAATTGGTAAGAAACCGAACCCAGTCCAGAGGAATCCATGGCGTGGTTGAAGAAGATGAAGGAGATGGCCATCATTGCTTGCCCGAACTCCATGGCAGCAATTCGTTCCAAGTGGTGGAGGATGCATCCTCGGCTGCACGTCGTGGGCGCCGCGGCGGGCATGATGGTGGACGTGGGAAGAGACCCACCACACAATCGATTAGCAGTGCACCATCCTCGGCAGCACGTGGTGGTCGACCGAGGAAGGCGCCATACAAGCAGCCACGGCCATCGAGCAGTGGAGCTGCTACCGGGGTAACGGCCAGTGCAGACAATCTCTGCGCAGAAGGATTTGTCGACAGTGAGACATGTAATGGAAGTGGAATGGTATGTCTCTCTTATGGTTGTATTTATTACATATTTGATTTATAATTCTTGTCACAACAGTGAGAAATGTCATGTGGACATATAAGAGTCCAAAAAAATCTTGACTAGTGCATGGGAAGAAGCAAACCTGGTTTATGACTGTTGTTAATAATGCTTGTATTGCTCTGTTCTCAGTGCTAAAGGGTAGGTCGTATTGACAAATAATAAAGATATAATTATTAACTAGTGTTCATATCTAAAAGCTATAATAAAATACTATTCATGTGCTCTGGAGCTCTAAATAGTCATGTTTTTTTATAGTTAGAGCTATAGATGTACGACAACATTGAAAACTGAATCTCAATGTGTTTGTTCTATCAAATAGAAGGAGTTTGACAAAGCAGAATGGTCTACCACAAACACTAGGATATTTTGTGAACTATGCGTAGAACAAATCGAAGCCGGCAATAGGCCTATCGGGATAATGACTACTAGGGGGTACCAGAACATTGCTGTCAAGTACTTGCAGAAAACAGGGCTACGACACAGCAAGATGCAATTGAAGAACCGATGGGATATACTAAAAGCCTTGTATAGCTTTTGGCTTGGCCTCCTCAAAGATACAGGGCTTGGATGGGATAGTACACAAGGAACAGTTTCAGCAAGTGATAAATACTGGAAGCAAGTCACTAAGGTAATAATCCTTTTCATGAAATTGTTTTTAGTGTTTTCAATAATTAGTACTCACGGCCTGTTCCTTTATTTCTAGGGTCATTCTGAATGGAAGAAGCTACAACATGGTCCCCCGGATTGTGAAGATTTATTGAGTCAAATGTTTGCTGAGGTTGCTGTTGATGGTTCTTCTGCTTGTGCACCTGGAGAGGATGTTGGAGGGGCTGGTGTACAAAGCCTTGATGACACACCAGTGGACATCTCATTGCATAGATACACAACGAATAACAAATCAGTGAAACGAGGGTGTATTACCACTGAAAATAGTCCACTGAAGAAGGTTAAGAACCCCATGGTTAAGGTGATGAAGAATATTCAGTCCACTTTGGACACCAATTGTAGTATTGCCAACAAGGTGATGCAAGGTGAATTTAGGTACAACTCTATTAAGGAAGTGATGGACTTGGTAGTGGAGTGTGGGGCAGCAGAAGGAAGTGCCGAGCATTTCATGGCTACGCAATTATTTGTGAAATCTTTTCACATCGTGACGTGTTCAAGACTTTTACCACCAAGGAGGGAAGGCTCAGTTGGTTGAAGAGGTGGTGCATGAAGGAAGGCTTGGAGTAGGATAGTGCTAATTATTTATATGCATGAACTTATCATCTTTGTTTAAATTTTGTGAGACAATATGTATTAGCAAGACAACTTCTATTTATATGCATGAACTAATGAATTGCCCATGTAATATGACGCTTTAATTTGAATGCATGAACTTTTATGTGCCTACTTGTGTGATATCATTTGTTGCATTGTTTGTAGATTGGCATGTATGCAAGTGATGATGAGGATGAGGATGAAACTTTTGTTGTTGCTAGCAGACAACTAGACATGATGAGAAAAGTTGGACCTGTATTGACAGCATTTGGTATGTTATATGCTGAAACTTATTTGAACAAGTCAAAGTATAGAGAAGCTACTTTAGCTGGTTATGATTGGGTTATGAGAAACCTCAATTTCCCACAAGATTGTTATGATATGTTTAGAATGAGTAGGCCACTGTTTGAGAGGTTACATAATTTGTTGGTAACATCTTATGGTTTGAAGTCAACTAGTAAGATGGATTCAATTGAAGCGTTGGGAATGTTTTTATGGACTATTGGGGCTCCACAGTCATTTGTTCAAGTTAAAAACCGATTTGAGAGATCAAAAGGAACAATCAGCGTGAAATTTGAGGAAGTGTTGCAGAGTGTTTACCTTCTCTCAAAAGATCTAGTCAAACCTAGAGATCCACACTTCACAACGATTCACCCAAGACTACATGGTGATCGGTTTCAGCCTCATTTCAATAATTGCATAGGTGCAATAGATGGGACGCATATACTAGTTGTTGTGCCCGCATCAAAGGTGGTTCAGCATGTGGGTAGGAACAAGTATCCCACTCAAAATGTTTTGGCTGTTTGTGACTTTGATATGAGGTTTACATTCATTGTTGCGGGATGGCCCGGATCGGCACATGATATGAGGGTGTTTAATGATGCTTTATGCAAATATGCCACTATCTTCCCTCATCCTCCACCAGGTAATTTCACATATATCTTTTCACTTTTCTTACTAGTTTCAGTGTTAAAGTGATGTCTAATAAAGTATGTTTATGTTTATATCAACAGGGAAATTTTACCTTGTTGACTCGGGCTATCCAAATCGAATGGGATTTCTAGCTCCATATAAAGGGACCAAATACCATTTACCAGAGTTTCGAGCGGGTCCACGTCCTAGTGGCAAGAAGGAGGTGTTCAACCACTTACATTCATCTCTTCGTAACGTGATTGAGCGTTCTTTTGGCGTTTTGAAGATGAAATGGAGAATTCTATTGGACTTACGAGTTATCCGATGCTCAAGCAAACAAAAATAATACATGCATGCATGGCGCTTCATAATTTCATTCGAGATAGTAAATTGAGTGACGAGGAGTTCGATCGGTGTGATAACGATGAAAACTATATGCCGATGCCTTCATCTCGAGGGAATGCTAGTCAATTGGGAGACGAAGAGGGCGACGCAAATATCTTTCGTGATAATATTACCGATGCTTTATTTGCTAGGAGATAATAATTTATTGTTCAGTCTGTTGTAAAAAAAACATATTCATGAATGTTTTATTTATTAATAGATGACATTATTTAAAATTACGTATTTGTTTTATATAGTGACAAGGATGAATAAGGCATCCAAAATAGCTGAGGGTATTATAGACTTCAGCCTTACAAACCCAATAATCCATACCTCCAATAATCCGGACAAACAAACAACTCACAGCTTATTCTATGTCAGCTTATTATAATCCAGCTTATAGTAATTTGGTTTAATAATCTAGATTATAATAATCATAAGCTGAAACAAACAAGGCCTAACTTGAGAGAATATGAGAGAGCTCATGCTTGAGGTGTGTGAGTGAAGTGAGAAGAGGAGCTCCTTTTATAGGCAGGTAATGACGGTTGTGACGGTTGGAATGGTCGGTAATACCCTCCAACCGTCATTGCGGATCAATCCTAGCCATCCATCCAAACCCTGCATCCATTGGCGCCACGGGAGGTTCGGCCGAACCCCCTGGTTCGGCCGAACTAGGGGCCGGCCCAACCAGCCCATGTTTTGGCTGGCGGCATCCTCTGTTGCTTCACTTCGTAGACTTGTAAATTTTGGCCCAATTCATCGTGTTAATTCTGAGATCTTGGCCCATTCATACATAAGTCTAATCCTCGACATCGTCCGATTGATTTATCGTCTGATTTGATGTCGATTCTCCTTCACTTTATGATTATTCTCTGCAGAAGGGTTAATGAACCAAATACTAGTGGAATATTATTATTCTAGCGCATATATGCATTGCAAGCATAACTAGTTCTCCTCTATTTTGATAATGTTGACGGTAAAACTGATTGCTAACGACCGTCAACAAAACCCCCCAAGCTTGAATCTTCACTCGTCCCGAGTGAAGGACGAAAGGAAACAAAAACTTTGTTGTTGATTAGGTGTTGCTACTATGCTGTATATCTCAAAGGTACAGGTGCAAGGTATATGTACTCTCTCTCAGATTAAATAATCTTTGGCACGGTGGCTTACCCTTACCCCTGATTCCCACGAGACACTGCTTCTCCTTGTCTTGGGCGGTTGAAAGACAGAATAGCAATTAGAGTACCAATCACCCAATCTTTATTCAACTTTCGTCCCGGAAGTTTTCAAAATGATTTTGCAAAAGAAAGCCAAGTTCCTCAAATGATTCACTCATTCTCTCTAAGTGTATCAAAATGAATTCCTCGCTATTTTTGCCTTCTTGATTCCTACTCTAAGATTTGATATGTGGAGCTCGGTAGAGATCAAACATGGCATACTTGCATTCACATTTATTACTAAGTCAAAAACTCAGACTAAAGCAGATAACTAAACATACTCAAGATTAAGATCGTGCAAAGTGTGTGTGTGATATATGGTGGAAATGACATATAAAGAAAATGCTTCTCCTTTGTGCTTACTTTCTTCTCCAAAAAAATCCTTGTTTTATTAATTAAGAGAGGGCATGGCTAACATTTTTTTTCAGTATCATTCCCATGCTTGTGAGAGCATAACTTTATTTTTTTTTTCATAACCATGCATTTCCCTCCTTCTCTTTTTTTTCAAAAGGATTTTCTTTTTAGGAGAAGAAAGCATATGAAAGCATGGAGAATTTATTTTGGTGGTAATATGGAAATGGAATGGAATATTGCTAGCTCCCGATGTAGGAGTTTAGCATGTGCATATATGTGGGTGTATGATCTTGGTCATAGAGCATGAGAAGTATCTACACAAGTCAGAAGAGTTTGACAAAGTTCAATGGAATGACAAGCAACCAAAATGTATATAGTTCAATTATGATGGCACATTTTTGGCTCTGGTAGGAATTTATATCAAATGAGGAACTTCCAAATTTATCATTTTGAAAAACAAAACATCCGGAATTTAAGTCAAACTAGGACCAGGATCATAGTAACTCTTATTTACTATCTCATATCTTGCAACAACTTAGACTAAGATCAGCAAGTGCAGCTCATTTACCTTAGGTTCCTAGATTTATTGGCTACTTATATTTAATCTTTGAGAGAGCACTTACCTATGAACCCATATATAAGAGATATAAAACAGAGCAACTATTCATCATTTCAACAAAGAGAGCTAGCTTGTCTTACCTAGCATGACTCAAACCTATCATATCTTTTGGTATTTTTTATTTTGCAAATTTTTATGTTGTTTTCAGGTTTATAGGATGCAATTAAGAAGCAAATATGCAATTGGAAAGGGAAATATGCAATGTGATACAAGTTAGCTCAGCAGGGGGAGAGATGTCTCCCTCCAAGCTTGGCTTACGCTTAGGGTCCTTGATAAGGATTGAACTCCTGGAAGCGGAAGTACGCTTGAAGGTCATCGTGCTGTTGCTGGATCATGTTGTTGATGTTGGCAAATTGAGCATCAGCAGTCTGTTGCCACTCTTGCGTCTGGGCTATGTGTTCTGTGAGGTTATATTGGATCTCTCCCGTCTGCACATCAAGGGTATCCATTCTCCTGGTGATTTCACCCTAGTCCCAACGAGAGGAACTTGAGCGCCATTCACTTGGAGATGGGAGCATACCACTTGATCTGGGGGGTTGGTTGTCCCCCCATTCTATGTCATGAGGCGCATGCCACCGTTCCTCACTGGCACTTGCCCAGTTGGTTCCTAACCTGCCTCATACATCTGCACGGGTGTTGAGGATGATGAACTTTCTCGTTCGTTCCTTGCCATGCTGCGCGTCTCCCTGTATGCTCCACCTGCACGAGATTCTTCTATGGTCTGCAGGGAATGGTTAGTTCATGGCAGTTGTACAAATGATACCCCGCATTTGGCAATAGGATTTCATTTATACAACCGAGGAAAAAGTATATCAAAGATCCACCTACTCCATGTTTCATAATATGTCCTTGCACTAGATAATTCTCATCAATACATGGACAAGCAGTAGAGATGAAAGCAATCTGGTCACTAACGACCCCCAGCCCTTTCGCTATCCGAGCAATCGGAGAAGTGCATTCAATAGGAGCAGAAAACCTCATACTTTCTAACCATTGTCTTATCATGCATTTCACAAGAGAAATTTTTATCTTCCTAACCATGGCAAACATGATAGTAAATTTATCCCCCCTAATGGGTCTAAGATCACCTCTAGGAAACAAAGTCATAGCAATCAATTGTGCATGAGCCTAAGATCAGGATTATGGATATCATTCGTCCTAGGTTTCTTGCAAATTGGAGCACCAGAAATATCTTCCCAAAACCTATTTTTCTCGAACCCAGAAATTCCTTTCTGGAGATCGATTTTACAAGAATCGTGAAAACCAAGAAGTTTACTTAATCCTTTCCATGTAAATGTGTATTCCTTATGGAAAAAGTGAAAGGAAATTCCATCTTCTATTTCTTTCAAAGTGCACAGAAATTGCAAAGTAAGCAAACGAGAACTAGGCTTATCTACCACAGCAAATCTCTGCCAACCAACAGCTTTCCAAATAGCACGAAAATCAACATCCATACCTATCTTTTTCAGCAGCTCCGGAGAGTATTCTCGCATGTGAGCATACTCCCGGTCACTCAGCATGTAGTAGGCTTGTCTTTCCCGATCATCGATAAGGTCGAGGTCGGTGTCGTTCAGGAAACGTCGTGGAGCTTCGGCATCCTCTTGAACATGGTCGAGGTCAGCTGATGAATGAGTACTAGACTCATCATGACAACTTGACGAAGAGCCGGACCCCTTGAACAGACGAGACAATCGCCTCCTCATTCTACACAATGGAGCAAGAACGGACTAACTCAGCGGGGGTTAGAATAGCAAGAGTTTCACCCGCCGATCAGTTTCACTAAAGCAACTTGTATATATGCAACTATGTATTTGAATTTGAGGGAAACTATCAAAGCCTGAATGAATTTGAGAGCAAACTTTGGAGAGGGAATGAAAATGTGTTGAAATGGGATGGATTTCCCGCTCCTGGCTGGTTGGCTTAAGTAGTGCTCCCACAACGGTCAAAACTGACCTGTGGGGCCCACTAGCCGTTGCCTCGAAAAGGGACGCAGCTGACCGTTGCCTGGCCGGTTCGGCCAAACCAGGGGGTTCGGCCGAACCCCTGGTGAACCCAACTGGCCCCACTTTCGGCCGTTGGGTTCCAATGATCAGTGTGGTCATGGCACAGTGAATTTTCGTTGAAAATTTTATTTTGGTTGCTCTAAAAAATTCATTTGAAGGGTTTCCTCAAAATTCAAAAATCCTAAATGCAAATTTGAAATTCAAACATGTGTTGATGCAAAAATTTAAATTGTTGAAAGCAAATAAGTGGATACATACCAATTTACCTGTTGGCGAAGGTCGCGTCATTTTGGGTCCGACGTGCAAGACCGTACCTCCCTTCCGTTTAGTGCACGGATTTTCCACCGTCTCTGGAGGTGATGGGGCGGGAGAAGGCTTCCTTTGAGCCGGCTCCTCTAGCTTCTTGGCCGGTGTGCTTGATTTCACCGGCGTTTTCCAATAACGGTTCCTAGGCATCGTTGTTTCCTTTTCCAGGAAATTCTGCATGAACTTTACCAGGCTGTCCTTTTTGGGTGGCTCCACTTCGACCATTTGAATGTTTTGCAGGTTTGGCCCATACTTTATTCTGACCATGGAGCATTGTTCAGTCTTTGGCTGGAACTCAAACTTTTCCTCCTTCCCGTTGATATGGAAACGGATACTTCCTGTTCCCACGTCAGTGTTGGCTCCTGCGGTGCTAAGGAACGGATTGTCACGCCCGGAATTTCCATCCAAAATTCCAAACGCTTACATGTGTGTGAACCATCGTCCAGGAATCAGCCGAGGCACACAATAACAAATTGATAATAGAGTACAATTATTACTCTAGTTAATAAGCGAACAAAATGTCATTACAGAGGTAGATAGTTCCTCTCAATCATTAAAGATCTAAGCAGCGGAAAAAAAAATAAACGGCGCAGACGGCTCCACCCCACAGGCAGCTTGACCAGGGCTACACCTAATCCTCCACACCATCAGCATCATTGTAGAACTCTTCCTCTGATGAATGATTGCAAGGTGAGTATATGACATACTCAGCAAGCCACTCAGCAAATATGCAAGTG